GATAACCATTTTTCTGAAGTGGTGTAGGGTTTCCTGCCTAAGCAGGGGGTTGGACTCAGGGGTGGGTTCTAACCGGCTTTACTACCGGTTCTCTTCGCTTGCGCGCTTTGCGCGCGATCACTGTGCGCATGCTCGTTTTGCTCACCTACGTGCCAAACCTGCGCTTTGCGCAAGCGTGTTGCGAATCTGCCCAGCTGAGGTGTGGCAATCCGCTCTGCTGCACCTCTCAGCTGGGCGAAAAAAGAAGAAATATAAGGTCAGCATAACGCCGGGGCAGGCGGGAGGGCCCAGCTCCCGAAAACAGAGAACCGGTTCAGTGATGTCATATCGTCACCGTTACCGGCTCTCGGGAACCGGTGCGAACCAGGAGCAACCCACCACTGGTTGGACTAGAAGACCTCCAAGGTCCCTTCCAACTCTGTTATTCTATTCTATTCTAAACTCTTGTTGCTTGAGTTGAGGTAGCATCAACTGAAGCACTGTCTTGGAGAAGTCTGCCCTGTGACATGTGTCTGAAAGCAAAGCAAAGCAAAGCATGATAATACAGCTAATAGCATAACACAATGTGCAAGTAAAAACAGAAATAAAGGAAATAAGATCAGACCCACTTTGGAAGAGCTACAAGATCTTCAATGTCCCTTGTGGCTAATTTTAACTGAATTTACTTGAAAGTAAACCAGTTAAAATCAATGTGGCCTCCTTCCAACTGGATTTAAGACCAGATATGAACAATATCTTAAGAATTATACTGCAGAATAGCTCGCATTTCTTCACTTGAAAGCCTCTTTTATGGCATGTACACACTTACATCCTAAAATAATGGGCTGTTGGCATTATCATTTGGACTCCAGAAATAGTTTATAGCCTGAAAATGTTGCAAACATTGTAGCATGAGATCCAGATGTTTTCACCCACAACAAAGTGCTGATGTTTTGGGCTATCATTTTTCAATCACAGACTGCAATATTTTATTGTCATAGAAATGCAATTGTATCTGCAGATAAGCATGTTCTTAGAATTGGAAATATGCTCTGGAATTGAGCTTTGTTTGTGTTACATGTTGTGACATCATTTATTGCTCCTCATCATTCCCACCCCATTCTTGTGCCTGAAGTTATGTTGGGTGAAGGTCTAACATCCTGTTTTCTAAGTTTTCTTTAGTCATCGAACTGTCTCATATTTTTCTAAATCCTTTGGCCATTTTTTTCCTCCTTAGGTTGGATAGCAAGTAGCAATGCGTCTATGTGATCAGTGAACCTACCTTCTTTCATTGGTCCTTGGATGAGAAGAAGACAGCAACATTTTGACATGTTTCTTTGTCTCTTCCTGGAGCCAGAAAACCAAATTGTTTAAAGTTTTGTTCTATCAGCAAACTTACAACATTCCAGTGGATCATTTTTGGCAGAACTGTTTATGCTATTTGCACACCCCAAATTTCAGAGTGCTGGAGAAATGAGAGAAAATAGAATATGTGTACACTCACAACCACTGGTCATTTAATAATGAGTTTTTGCATAGCAAGCCCCATTCTTCACCTATGAAAAGTTCACCAAAGTTTTCTTCTCTTTGGGGTGGGGGGAGGGTGAAGGTAGGAAAGAACCATTCAAGGCATAGAATATGTTTTGGGCAGAACACTGATTGAAAAAGCCATTTTCTTGCACACTTGGATGTATTTCTATTTTTCCTTGGGACTTCAGCTGAACTTGCCCCAAAGAGATGTCTCTAGCATAACTGGACAGGTTATGGGGTATGAATTACATTTTCTTTTGAGTTGATTTTTAGGAACACTTAATAACATTCACACATGTTTTCATAAATGGGATACAGTTATCTCTGCAGCTATGGTCCACAAAACTGAGATGAGTGTATTTAAGGAAATGACTGAAGCAGCCCACTCTTCTTTGCTCTTGCACAGCTATGTTGTTGTTGTTGTTGTTGTTGTTGTTGTTATTTATGAAATGGCAAAACAAACATATTAACAGAATAATAGAGTCAGAAGGGACCTTGGAGGTCTTCTAGTCCAACTCCCTGCTCAGTCCAACCCTATACCATTTCAGACAAATGGCTGTTCAAAGTCTTCTTAAAAAGACTTAGATGAAGTCTCAAAATAATAATAATAATAATAATAATAATAATAATAATAATAATAATAATTTTATTTCTATACCGCCCTTCTCCCGAAGGACTCAGGGCGATGTACAGCCTATTAAGAGCACAAGACAAACATCAATTAAAATAATTTAAAATTATTAAATAATTCGGCTCAGTTTAAAACCCCAGAAATTTAAAACACCCAATTTAAAATTATTATGTTGATAGCCCATAATAAAATGGCCTCAATCAGGCCAGCTTCAGGGTTGACACCTCCATTGATGGTGCACTCACAACTTCAGGAGACAAGTCGTTCCACTGAGTAATTGTCCCAACTGTCAGCAAATTTTTCCTTAGTTCTAGGTTGGTTCTCTCCTTGATTAGTTTCCATCCATTAGTTTTTGTCCTGCCTTCAGGTGCTTTGGAGAATAGGTTGGCCCCCTCTTCTTTGTGACAGTCCCTCAAATATTGGAACATTGATATAATGTCACCCCTAGTCCTTCTTTTCATGGCTGCTGTTGCATATTGTTGAATAAATAATGGAAAAGCCTGCAGACAAGGGGATAGAAGAAAAACAGGCACGCACGAGTTTCTGCATTATCCAAGTTTTGTGCAAAGATAGCAAGAGTGGTCTTTGGCTGATTCAAGAACCCACAGTTATGGAGTTTGTGTGAAAGCAAACTAACAATTCCCCTTGTACCTCTTTTAGCTAACTATAGTTTTTTTCACACCTGTTTCACTCACCAGTTAACCAAAACGTCAGCATGGTGCTCTCATAGCCTATTTTATTTCAAGCATCATTTGTTTGATCACTTTTAAGACTCCTGGAGCTGTTTTTGTTGGGTATTTTATCTGAGAAATTTAGTACAGAAAATGTACATTTGATTATTCATGTAATAACTGCAGCAAGAATTGTATTTGCACAAAATTGGAAAGTGGAAAAAATCCCTATAGAGGGAGACGTAATTAAGAAAATATTAGAATGTGCAGAAATGAATAGATTAATATTGGCAATTAAAGGGAAGGCAGAATCGGAGTATTATAATATATGGGGGCAATTTTATCATTGGATGGAAAGTGAATATGGACAGAAAGTGGTATAAAATTAAATAAATTTGACAGGAAAATGCTTTAACAGGAGCCAGTTACGTCCCTTTCTGGATCGGGACTCATTAAATACGGTCACTCATGCCCTCGTCACTTCCCGCCTGAACTACTGCAATGCTCTCTACATGGGGCTCCCCTTGAGGAGCACCCGGAGGCTCTAGCTGGTCCAGAATGCGGCTGCGCGGATGGTTATGGGAGCGACGTGGCCACCCCGCAGGAGGGTGGTTATGGGACCCCCTCCTGCGTGAGCTGCACTGGCTCCTGGTGGTCTTCCGGGTGCGTTTCAAGGTTTTGGTTACCACCTTTAGAGCGCTCCATGGCTTAGGACTGGGGTATTTACGAGACCACCTTCTGCCACCAGTAGCCTCTCACCGACCAGTACGCTCCCATAGAGAGGGGCTTCTCAGGGTGCTGTTGGTCAAACAGTGTCGACTGGCAGCCCCCAGGGGGACAGCCTTCTCTGTGGGGGCGCCCACCATCTGGAACGAGCTCCACCCGGAGATACGGAGGATCCCGGATCTGCGCGCTTTCGGCCATGCCCTCAAAACATTCCTATTCCAGCAGGTTGGCCTGGCCTAACTTTTCTTTTAAACTGTTTTTTAAATTTTAAATTTGTCTTATAAATTGGGGTGTTTTACATTTGTTTTCTGGGCCAAATTATTTAATTGTATTTTAAATGGTTTTTTAACGTTTGTATTATATGTATTTTATCTTTTGGCTGTTCACCGCCCTGAGTCCTTCGGGAGTAGGGCGGTATATAAATTCAATTAATAATAATAATAATAATAATAATAATAATAATAATAATAATAATAAATGAAATGTAAAAGTAAAGATATGTACATATTAAGAAAATGGTGGTAAGCGTTAAATATGACGACACAAAAAATTTGTACCCAGATGACGCACTGATTGATCAATGATGTAATGTTTGTTATGAAGAGAAAAAATTAAAAAAAAAATTATATAAAAAAAGACTACTTAGGGATCAGTTTGCACCCAGAGATCAATTCTCTGATCATATCTTGATTTTTCTCTGATGTAGCTTGCAATCCGGCCCATTTCTTCTCTTTTATATAGCCACCTCCCTAGCAGATGAAGAAAATAAGGATGAGTGATCCTTTCCCATCCTTCAGTGATGCTTCCTTAGTTCCTGTCAAAGCGCCTCACCTGAATATGATAAGCTATCAACCACTTTTGTCAAACCTTAAGAGGGATTGCCCCAAGGCGACCCACAGGGATAGAGATTTAATAAGAGAAGCTTGCTTGAATTTATCATCATTTTTCTACCAATTTCTTTTTCTAAGGCTAATGGCAAGGTCTCTCAAACCTCTATGAAGGCTAATGGCAAGGTCTTGCAAAACCTCTACGAAGGACTCATAAGGAAGAGGGAGGAAAACCCTTAGTAAACTATTGCACACATATCAGGAGGTCTATATATTTCAGGTACAACTTAAAAATATTCCTTAACCTCAATCATATCCAGAGATGACATCTCTGTAGCAAAAGGGATCCTGATATTTTCTTTGTATGTATAGCTTTAATGAAGGCTGGCTTCTGGAGTGCTGAATCCAAACTCAAACAGTACTTTCAAATAAGATGTTTGAAAATCAACAACCTGGAAAGGTTCCAGCAAAGCAGTTAACAGAAATATTTCAAACTCCGGAAGGAACTGCCAGAACCTTTAGAAACTCAATCTATTTAGTTTATCTCTGGCTGTCTGATTAGAAAGGCTATTCAGAGAAGGGAGAGAAAGCTGATAGAGCAATTTCTCCTTAAACTCATTTAAACACAGCCTGAAACCAGACACAAGTTACACAAAGGATCTGGAATCGTTGGGAAAGTCAGTCATAGCAGTACAAAGGATTCATCATACATTAGGGCCAATTTCTATTATTTAGAGCCTGAGATTATCACCAGAAAGGTACTTTTCTGGCATTGCTTTTTTATTGGATAGGAAAAGCATTGGAAATCATCAATAAAATATTCATTTAATCACCACTCCCACTGGTACCAAATATTTAATTTAAGGGTGTGGTGAATTGAACTGCTTTCCACTAGAAGCATTTTCACAGCTAGGATGGTGCCGTTGTATTGGTTCCAAAAGATTGCTTCTATCTTTGAACACTCTTTAATGAAGGGGTAGGATATTCAATAAGACTGGGCAGTATTGATTTTGCATCCAATTTCTCTATGTCTCCTTCCAAGGAGGGTGGAGACACATTCCGGGCACAATTTCAACCCTTGCAGGCATCTCTTGGATTTGCATCCCCAAATAGCTGTGAAATAATAGAATCATCCAAAAAAATATATCCAGCAAATGCTTGATTTAATGAATAAATAGGATGGAAAGAGGTCATTAAAGCTGACTAACCATTAAATGGTGAATGGGATACATAAAATGAATGTAATGTATAAAAATGTCCCTAATGTATGAACTTTATCCAAATCTTGTCACCACATAATGGACATCCAATATGGTGAAGCGCTTTATAGCCTTAAATTGAAGATTTTCTGTAGGAATCAGAAGAGATATTAAAGGTTATCTACTCCAAATCCCCTATCAGTTCAAGAATACATTAAATCATCTTTGTCTTGAGGTGGTATTGCCATCAGTCCTGATCTGATCATCTTTAGAGGAAGGAATTCAATATGGTTCTAACCAACATATTGTTCTATTTAACAGTTCTTATTTGTCAAATTGGGGATGCGGTGGCACAGAGGCTTAATGACACTGGAGCGGCCAGCCAGAAAGAGTCAGCACTCCAGTGGTTTGAATACAGCTCCATGAGGCAGAGTGAGCTTCTGTCGCTTGATCCCTAGCTCCTGCCCACCCAACAGTTCAAAAGCATGCAATATTGTAAGTAGATAAATGGGTATCACTTTGGTGAGGGGGGAAAGACTAGTTGTGTTCATGTGTGTGGAGAGTGGAAGGCAGCACTGGATCTGGCCAGACATGAGGCGTCATAACATGAGACGAGGCAAGGTGAGACTGCCAGAGAAACCTGGAAGAGTCAGCAATCCGAGCACTATTAGTTAATAGGTATAAAGCTAGTTCACCCGCATCCCCCATGGTGCACCAAGGATCAGTGTGCAAGTGAACAGAATGAACTAGCTATCTAGGCTGTCAGGACTGCATTGTATCTAGCATGTGTAGCTTTTCCTGACATTGTATCAGAGATCGGTTTCAGCAGGTTCTGACCAGTTCTGAAGAACCGGTAGCGGAAATTTTGAGTAGTTCAGAGAACTGGTAAATACCACCTCTGATTGGCCCCGCCCCCATCTATTCTCTGCCTCCCAAGTCCCAGCTGGTTGGGAGGAAATGGGGATTTTGCAGTAACCTTCCCCTGGAGTGGGGAGGGAATGGAGATCTTACAGTATCCTTCCCCTGAAGTGGGATGGGAATGGAGATTTTACATTATCCTTCCCCTGCCACACCCACCAAGCCATGCCATGTCCACCAAGCCACACCCACAGAACCGGTAGTAAAATTTTTTGAAACCACTGCATTGTATGCCATACGCTAAATAAATAAGTATATATTTGTGAAAAATGCTTCTTAATATTCAGAATCTCCTTTCTAATCATTTAAATTACTAGATGCATAATACATTTTAATGGGACAATGAAATTTTACAGCTCATTCATATCAGATCAAAGCATCGGGATTTATGTGTTAATCCATTCTTTTGGGTTAACATTTTCTGCTACTAGTTTATCATGTTTATATTAAACATTCACCTTGTTGACTGGCGTTCGTCCATTGATGTGTAGTTGCTCTGATCACGAGCCTCAGAGAGTTCATATTTTGCTTTCGTCATTTTACATTTGAATCTATGGGCTTATTGTTTCTTCAGTCTAGAAGTTATTTAGGACAATATTCATGAAATCCCATGGCAGCTGGGTTTTAAAGATCACTGAATTCAATATTTTGCCCGTTAGACCCAAAGGATTTTACCGGAATCAGCCCTGATATTCTTATCTCATGAGGCCAATTATACAACGCTCTACTGAACAGTGGTCACCCTTTATGCAGAGGGAAAGACCAGGTTTACCATTTGAATGCCTGCACTTTTCACTTACTTCTCTAGTTAGCCATTGACAGAGCAGTGCTTGATGTGGTGAAATAACACCTTACAAAGTTTGATAGCCTCGCTACATGTGTAAGCTGTTAACTATGAATTCATTACAGCTGTTGCAGTACAGCAATATTATAGGCAATAATTAACAAGAGAGGAGAACCTTTCCGTGGAGAAAGACCCTTAACGGTCTCCTTTTCCAGTAGAAGGATAGAAATATAGCACATAAAACAGGTTGGGATAGATTTAGAGAGCACTCTATATGTGTGCTATCTCAATCCATTTTATGTTACATTTGTATATATTTCCTACGGAAAAGGAGACCTTTTTAGGGCCTTTCTCCATGGATGAGTTATTCTCTACTTGTCCTTGAGTTAGAAGAAAACTACACTGGCATGAAATTTGTTTCCCTAATTGCCAATTTCTGTCCTGCCTTAATTGCCACTATTCTCAGTCAGCTAAATTCCGTTCAAGGTAATAGTGGCAAAGCTTAACAGAGGTTGTCCCTTATTGCAGTTGGGTAAGGTGGTGTATTACTGGATTAGCTGTGATGACCCATTAGCGGAGAATGAAATTGTGCGGACATGACAAAGGACATGATAAAGGAATGCGGTGGCTCTGTGGCTAAGATGCTGAGCTTGTCAATCGAAAAGTCGGCAGTTCAGCGGTTTGAATCCCTAGTGCCGCGTAATGGGGTGAGCTCCCGTTACTTGTCCCAGCTTCTGTCAACCTAGCAGTTCGAAAGCACATAAAAAATGCAAGTAGAAAAATAGGGACCACCTTTGGTGGAAAAGTAACAGCGTTCCGTCATCTTTGGCATTGAGTCATACCAGCCATAGGACCACGGAGACATCTTTCGACAGTGCTGGCTCTTCGTCTTTGAAACGGAGATGAGCACTGCCCCCTAGAGTCGGGAACGACTAGCACATATGTGCGAGGGGAACTTTTACCTTTACACACACACACACACTGTATGTGACATATATATATCAATGTTTGTGTTATGCTTAAGTGAGGAAAGGACCCTTAGTGTCACATCAACCTTGAGAAATACTTAAATTGTGTGTGTGTGTGTCAGTGTGTGTGTGTGTGAGAGAGAGAGAGAGAGAGAGAGAAAGACAGAAATTCAAGTCAGATATGTGATTTATCAATGGCAGATAGATTGCAAATGATACTCTCAGTGCAATTGAGATAAATTCTCCAGTCATTCAGTTTAATCAAAAATAATTTTTCTTCAAAATTTCAATGGAGGTGAGAATTGTGATGAAATTCTCATGGGTGGCGTTTGATGTTCTTGCACTTAAATTGCAAATTACAAAGATGCCTGAGGGTGCAGGTGAATGTTCTGGTTTCCATTGTATTGTTATCTCCCCAGTCCCCTTACTTTCCAATGCTTCAATTCAATCCTAAGGGAAGAATTCATAAGGGAAGGCTTTCTATTGGATTTCCTTAACTCGGGAAGCGTGGGCCACCAAGGAAGCTGCAGAGGGAAAGAAGGGATAGAAAGAGCTGAAGCAGGAAATAAGACTACCAAGAGAGAGATAATCTTCTACCATTTGCCTCAATAAACAATACCACCCATGCAAATTCAGAAGAAATTATCCCTCACTCTGAAAATGAAACCAAAACATAGAAGCTTCTTTTGAAAAGAAAGTTCTTCAAGAAATTTCAAAGCAGATTTCAGTAAGGTAGTAAAATAAGAGAGATTTAAAAAAATAATAACTCATCGACCCCTAAAGTGTTCCATAGTTCTGACAGAGGTGCCTGCTCTCCCAAACCTGGATAAATTACCCAACATTCAGTAAAACTGTTTTTTCTTTGAGTAACAACTCATAAACCCATCAACCATGACATCAGGTACATTTAAATTGTCTTAATGATTGCCACGTATACTAAAATATATTTGAAAATCTTGAATAAGAATATTTGAAAATATTCTTATTCAGAGAAAAATCAATGAAGTTACCAAAGATATGACATAAACATCATTGTTTTTATAATACAGGTAATTCTCAAGTTATTACCACTTGTTCAGTGACTGTTCAAAGATACACCAGTGATGAAGGGACTTAACAACCACTCCTTGAATTTCAATAAGACTTTCTGATGAGCCAGGGATCTCCAACCTTGGCCACTTTAAGCCTGGGGGACTTCAACTCCCAGAATTCCCCAGCCAGCAAAGAACTCTGGGAGTTGAAGTCTCCCAGGCTTAAAATGGCCAAGGTTGGAGACCCCTGTGATGAGCAGTTTTGGGTAATGGACAAAAGCACTTGTCTAAGTGATAAAACATGCATTGCATCGCATTGTCACAAAGCCAGCTTTGCCCTTGCCATATTTGTGTGTGATGTCATGATGCAAGTATAAAAGGGGTGGAGTCATATCATAACCATGCAACATATTTTTCCTCATATGTCCCCTTTCTACAGATAGCCACGGCTTGGAGATCTCTGCTTGAATGAGTAAGGACTGAACCTCTTTGCACCACTTCATGTTATCCATAAAAACATACCTGTAAAACAGTAGCAAACAGTAGTTGCGAGCCCCCCACAGAGGCAACTTGGGCGTCCTCCTGGACACACGGCTGTCTTTAGAAGAGCATATGACGGCCGTGGCCAGGGGGTCTTTTTATCAGGTTCGTCTGATATACCAGTTGCACCCCCTTCTGAGTCGGGATTCCTTATGCACAGTCACTCATGCTCTCATCACTTCTCGCCTGGACTATGCTAACGCTTTCTACATGGGGCTCCCCTTGAGGAGCACCCGGAGGCTCCAACTGGTCCAGAATGCGGCCGCGCGGGTGATCACGGGAGCGACATGGCGCTCCCATATAACACCTCTCCTGTGTGAGCTGCACTGGCTCCCGGTGGTCTTCCGGTTGCGCTTCAAGGTGTTGGTTCTCATCTTTAAAGCACTCCATGGCTTAGGGCCAGGGTATTTACGCGGCCACCTTCTGCTACCGATAACCTCCCACCGGCCAATACGCTCTCACAGAGAGGGCCTCCTCAGGGTGCCGTCGGTCAAGCAATGTCGGCTGGCGGCCCCCAGGGGGAGAGCCTTCTCTGTGGGAGCACCCGCCCTCTGGAACGAGCTACCTCCCGGAATATGGCTGATTCCGGATCTCCGCACTTTCCGTAAGGCCCTGAAGACATATTTATTTCAACAAGCCAGCCTGGCCTGAATAGGTTTTAGGGGTTAGTTTTTTAATTGTATTGCTAGGGGTTTTAAATTGGGGCGGCCGTTTAATTTAATTTATTTTTAATTATTTTAACTTTTATATTGTATGTTATTTTAATTCTCGGCTGTTCACTGCCCTGAGTCCCTTCGGGGAGAAGGGCGGGATATAAATTTAATAAATAAATAAATAAATAAAAAGGGCAGAGGCTGCCAAGGGGTAAAGGCAGAGGGTGCATTCTTGTGACAAAAGATCTTCAAGAACCAAGGTGGCGCAGTGGTTAGTGTAGGCTACTTCAGCTGACTGCTAGCTGCAGTTCAGCAGTTCAAATCTCACCAGCTCAAGGTTGACTCAGCTTCCAACCTTCCGAGGTGGGTAAAACGAGACCCAGATTGTTGGGGGCAATATGCTGACTCCGTAAAACCATTTAGAGAGGGCTGGAAAAGCACTATGAAGCGGTATATAAGTCTAAGTGCTATTGCTATTGCTAACTGGAAGATGAACACTAATCAAGGAGAGAACCAATCTAGAAATAAGGAGAACTTTCCTGGCAGCTAAAAACAATTAGTCAGTAGAATGGCCTGCCTCCAGAAGTTGTGGATGCTCCAT